CCCACCCAATGGCGACCGGTGGGGGCTAAGTGTACAAATACACTTTTTTGCATTCAGGTTTTTTTTTTTATTTGATACATTTGACGGGTATTATGTTTTTATTTGGCCTTTTTTGTTCCCTTTCATTGCTGAAGTAATTTAACCATTTTCATCCTCAAAAATCTAGACCCGCGTTTAAAGGGATCCTATAGTACCAGGAAAACAAAGCCGTATTCCTGGCACTATAGGGTTATTAGGTCCCCCCTCCCTCGCACCTCTCCTCCCGCTAAAACCCCATCAGCCACTTACCTGAATAGAGCGCTGATGTCCCTTGGTGCTGGGTCAGGCTCCTCCCCCGCCAACATCAGCCAGCGGGGGAGACCTAATGCGCATGCGCGGCAGTGGGCGAGCGCATCAGACCTCCCCATAGGTAAGCATTATTCAATGCTTTCCTATGGGTAAATTCTGACGCCGGAGGTCCTCATGCAGAGCGCAAGGACGTCTAGCGTCAGATAACGGACCAAAAGTCAGTTTAGATTCCGGAAGTGATTGATATTCTATTTCTATCTCTAAAAAAGTCTAATATCCGACCTATCATGCCAGTATTTTTTCCGAACCTCGGATTCAGTCTCATTCTTTCGTTCTCTATGTCTGGATTCATATGGAGCATAACAGCGCACATAACTCTGTATGTTGTAGTCCACTAATCTCGCTTCTCACATTCATGCTTTTCTCCAACCTGTCATATTTATCACTCCCTTTTTTCCGTCTTTTGAGTCAATCCTCTCCCACCCTATCATTTTTCCACCATCCATATCAACATACTTCTCGCTAACTATACTGATACCCCTTTTCAGGCAAGTTTTCTCTTATCTATCCCCATAATATCTGTAAAAATACTAGTACATATCAACCGCCACACTCTCACTTGTCTTCTCACCGCCCGATATATGTCTCTTTTCAACAAAGTTTTCTCTCTATCTTTATATTGCCTACTTCTGTGCTTTTAAAGGGACACCATAGTCACCAGAACTACTACAGGTCAATGCAAAGGTTTTGCTGTCTATAGACGGTCTCTGCTGGCTTTTCAATGTAAATACAGTCTTTTCAGAGAAAATACAGTGTTTACATGACAGCCTAGTTGCATCTTTAGTGGCAGTCACTTAGACGGCCACTAGAGGTGCTTCCTGTGTCAAGGCTGAACAGTGTGCAGCACTGGTATTCAGCGTTTCCACGCTCTGCATGGAGGCGCTGAACATTCCCCCTATGAAGAGATTCTGATTGGCACAGCATAGTGCTTTCCCTGCATGCGCAATAGCCTTGTAATTATTTTCTATGGAAAGGAACTGGAATGACTGAGATCATCAAGATTGAAAATCTCAGCCATCCAGACTGGGCCAACCACGGCAAGCTCGTAGTGGCATGGGAGAAAAGGTGAGTAAAAATACCTTTTCAGAGTGTACTGAGTAGGACTGGGGACCTAACCAGCCACACAAGCGCTCTAATGATATGATTACATGTTTGTATTCCTGACACTTTAGTGGGTTTTTTTTAAAGCTGAGTAAAAACAAAACTTTGTTAAGGTGCTTAGTCAGTGCAAATGTCAGTACTTGACGCACAATACTAAGCAACCCTTTTATTGAAATCTCAGGAATAAATGGCTACCTTGTCCTATATTGTTGCTCTGAGTGTGCTATTGGGTGGGTGTCAGGAGGATTAAAAAAAACAGATTGGATAAAATAAGTCAATGCACGCATTCGCAGGTGAAGAGCCAGAGTGGCATGCCACAGAACAGCGCTGCAAGGGAGAAAATAGAAGTAAACTCTTTCTTTCAATTCTTTATTTTCAACTTAGATAGTATACATGTCATATCACATGGTATAGTCAACAAGATATAGATAAAGGTCTAGCTGACTGCCTCAATTAATATTTTTGTTTAGTATTTACAGATGAAAATGAAGGAAAGGGACCTTAGTTAGGAAAAAGGACAAATTAGTGATTTGTTACATGGGAGTTTACAGAGTTTACAGAGGAAGAGGTTCTATTTGAACTGTCAAAAGTAAAGACAAGTAAGTCAATGCAGTGGTGTATTTTGGATTTGTGCTGCTCTAAGCACGACTAAATTTGGGCACCCCCAAAATCTAAATTTGCCCCCAATTCGTGTCAAGGCCACTTTTTTGACTGACAGACACATGCCCTCATTGATACATTCACTGATATACACTCACTGACAGATACACAGTCATTGGCATACACATACAGAGAGATATATAAAAGTTGGGATAGTCTTCGACTGCAGATCCTCTCAACTTGAATATGGTCACCAAAATGACACTCCAGTGGTGTCTGGGGCTTAACCCCTGGTAATTCACAAAGAGAAAAATATATCCACATTCAAGACAAAACAAGCAAATTGCCCATAAATGCTGATATAGTCTGGATAATGTGGAAAGCTTAAAGGACCACTAAAGTGCCAGGAAAACATACTCGTTTTCCTGGCTCTATAGAGTCCTTGGGTTCCCCTCACCCTCTGGGCCCCCTTCCCGCCTCCCTCTAGGGTGAGGAAGGGGTTAATCTCTTACCTTTTTTTCTCGGCGCTGGGGACTCTCCTCCTCCTTTCCCCGTCATCGGCTGAATGCGCATGTGCGGCATGAGCCGCGCACGCATTCAGCCAGTCCATAGGAAAGCATTTTCAATCACAGCCTAACAACCCATCCCCGCAGTTTTCTTTATATAGGTATTCCCCAGGTTTTCATTGGTGGGTAGGTGGGCGTTCTTCCTTAGGTCCTCTTGATTCATCGGTTACCTATTCCTGTCAGCCTTCTTCACTTTTCTTCAAGTAAGTCAATGAGGCCTGATGGAATACACCCAAGGTTATTAAAAGAGTTTAGTGGTGTACTAGGAAAACCAAATTTAGAAACTGGGTGAATAGACCGAGTGACTAAGGTAACAGAGACATGAGGGACAACAAAAAAGACCATGAAACTGAACTACATGCAGAGTTACCTCAAAGTTTTATGAGGTTAAAGGAGCACTGTATCATGTGAGAAATTTGTAAAGACACCCAATGGTGACATTGCGGCTGGGGGTCTGGATGCTATGGAGGTAGGGAAAGGTGAGCTTTACTTACCTGAGTCTTTCCCTCATGGACATCCACTTCCTGTCAGGAGTAGACGTCAGAATCGTACAGCATTGAGGTTTGTGGCGGATCCCGCGAGATCGCAGGATCCTACATAGGATGCAGCCACCACTGATGACGGCTGGGGGAAATAACAGGACATTGACAATGGTAGCTCTGCCTTTTTGTCAAGTGAAGGAAAAATACTGAGACTACTTTGTCTTAATATATCTTTTGACTGGGATGGCATTTCAGCAAAAATTCCAACACAGGCAATATACACTGATCCCCATGCTGCTGGCTGCAATATGGGTCAAAAGACAAAAAAGCCCAAACCCAACAAGCCATGGCAAAACATGAATATCGGCGACCTATGGAGACAAGCACACAGTGCCATAGGCCCAAATATGGCCGCCTTTACAGACGAATGCTCCAATATCTCGGATGACTTCACACCAGGCATAGAGATGGAGCATCCACCTGCCTCACAGGCCCCTCAGTCGACTCCTCCACGGCCGGATTACTCTTCAGTTACCACTGCGATTATGAAAGAATTGCTGGCTGGGTTACTACTTACCATACAGACTGACATTGCTCAAATCCTCAAAGACCTACAAGACCTGACAGGCCGCATGAGCGCCCTGGAGCAAAGCTCCAGCCAAAACGCACAACACACGGTGCACCTGCAGCAAACAGTACAAGACCTGCAGCAGCAGAATCTTAAGTATGCCCAGCGGTTTGCAGCTATAGAAGATCAGAGGCGAAGCCTGAATATCAAGATCAGGGGGATCACTGAGAAGATACCTGAGGCCGAAATATCACACCTTGTGAGGCAACTTCTGATTGCCCTCCTATCTCCCAAGCATGCAAAACAAGTGACTCTGGAGGGGATGTTCTGTCTCCAAGACCTGCCACACTGCCAAAGGATCTCCTGGTGCGCTTCCTGAGTCACAGGGACAAAACAGCAGTGATGAACTCAACACGAAATCACTCACCTTATCTATTTGAAAACATGTCGTTGTCATTCTACGGAGACCTGTCCTGACCACATTGGCCTGGACCACATTGCAAACAGAGCGTGCATTCCAGAGGGCAGTATTGAATGAGGATTTAGAGGAAGAGTAACATGAGATGGCTAGGAGATTGGTGTGGTTCCTTGAGTTAGTACGTGGTGGGTTTGCTGAGATGGGACCGGGGTTTGGAGAGACATCACCTGCTAGGAGCAGAGGGATAGAAAGAAAGTGGAGGTGAGAGTAGGATTTAAAAGTTTTGCAGAAGGGTATGTATATAGAGGATTTGGGAGGAGTTGGAGGAGATAGGCTGGAAAAGTATATGCAGAGTGCATGGGATGAATAGAGAGGGGAGGGAAGTAAAGTAGAAGTAAGGAAGATGGTGTTGCCAGGGACAGGTGAGCAGAAGGATATGGATATTTTAGTAATGAGAGAAGTTAGTGTGAAAGTGAAAAATAGAACGTAGAACCAGTGGCGTACACACAATCCATGGGGCCCCGGTGCGAAACTGATCCCTACCCCCGATCCGTTTGCCCCCCCCCCGCCAGACACATACATACAGACATACACACAGACACATACATACATACAGATAGACACACACGTGCAGACAGATAGATACAGACAGATACATACAGACACAAACATACATACACCCCCCCCGACAGACACATATATACATACATACAGATACACATACACACAGTCAGACAAACACATACAGACAGACACACACACCCCCGACAGACATACACACAGACACATACACACACACACATACAGTCTGTATGTGTGCATCTCTGTATGTGTGTGTGTCTCTATGTATGTGTCTGTGTGTGTGTGTGTGTGTGTATGTATGTTTCTGTGTGTATGTCTGTCGGGGGTGTGTGTGTCTGTCTGTATGTGTATCTGTATGTATGTGTCTGTATGATACAGACAGATACATACAGAAACACACACACATACAGACACACACACACATACATAGTCTGTATGTGTGTGTATGTGTGCGTCTCTGTATGTGTGTCTGTATGTGTGTGTCTCTGTATGCATGTGTCTTTATGATACAGACACATACATAGAGAGAAACACACATACAGACAGAGACACATACATACAGACACAAAATGTTTAAGTCACCCTCCTGTTTCCTACCTTTTGCAGGAGGGTGACTTAACGTGGGGTCCAGTGGGGGCTCAGCCTGATGGGAGTCAGAGTTCCCACTCTGACTTCCTCCCGCGCGGCTCTCTGATAGCTGGGAGGAGTGACCGGGGCAGTCACATCCTCCCAGCTCTGTCTGATGTCATCTCCACCCGATGGACCCCTTCGTGTGCTTAGGCTTTTCAGCAGTGGTTGCTTGTGAATACTAGGTGTTGCTAATCAATGCTGTTATTTGGGGCCCAGTCTGAAATATAAGGTCTGGGGTTAGAAAAAGAAACAAAACACCATTATCGGTGGGGAGACATGGAGATATTGAGGTAATTAGAGATGAAAAACGAGCCTAATTATTTTACTGTAATTGTAGAAAGGTACTTTATTAGAGAAAGTCAAAAGCTGCTCAAGTTAACATGCATATAAATATTATTCTTTAATCACACGTGTCGAGGCGCTATTATCACAATTTGTCACGTCTTGCGTAATTATTTTGCTAAGATGCCAAGTAAAGGTTAACAAAAGGTAAGGAACAATCCATTCACACTTCTATTAACATGCAAAATGTAGACTATGTTGTGATATATTTCATAATTAGTTTGCATGCATCAAAAGCGCTTTGGCAATTTATAAAATGTGCCATCTTGCAGGTATTATTGAAGGTTTTAGTGTTCTCCACAAAACAGAACAAAGATTGGTTTGATGAGAACAATCAGGAGATCAAAGAATTGGTGACGAATAAGAGATCTGCTCAACAAGCTCACCTTGCCCAGGCATCTTGTTCTGATAGGAAAGTAACTTTCCACCTTATATGCAGAAACCTCCAGTGCAAGATCCACGAGATTCAGAACAAGGACAAAACCTGTGACAAGAGAGGGTTTTATGAATCCCTGTGTATTGCCCAGCTTCAGAGTCCATTGCGCAACGCAGATAGCCAAACAATCCTCACAGACAAGGTGTCCATCTGGTACATTTCCATTCTCTCTTCAGCACCAACCACATGGTACAAGTTTCCCACCCCATTACATCCCACAACAGCCAAACAAACAGAGATGGATGAGATTCCCAATCTTGAAGAGACTGTTAAGCAGCTGCAAAGTGGCAAGGCAGCAGGAGTTGATGGATATCCAAACAAAGTCTGGAAGTATGAGGTCCCAGCATTACAAACTAAATCTCATGATTTCCTGTTATCCCCTGCTACAATCATCACCCTGTATGAGAATAATGGAGAAAAGCCTGACCGATCAAACTATCAAGGGATAGCACTGCTTTTAATTGCATGAAAAATCATTGCAAGGGTACTTTTGGTAGACTGGTACCCACCATTGCAGAATAACTCTGTCCAGAAAGTCAATGTGGCTTCAGCAGGAGCAGGAGCACCACCGTCATAGTATTTGTTCTGAGTCAGGTCCAAGAAAAATGTCAGGAACAGAACAAGGCATTGTACGTGATGTTTGTTCACCTCACCAAAGAGTTTGATGCAGAAAAGGTATGTGTCATATCTTGCCCCTAAGTTACTCAAAATGATCATTCAGTTAAAAAGATCAATGTGGTCAAATCAGACACAGCAGCAGCCTCTTTAAACCCTTCCCTATAGGCAATGGTGTAAAACAAAGCTATGTTCTTTTAAAAAAAAAAAATCTTTATTTATAACCAGAATCCAAGGAGTACAGTGCCAAAACATCAGATGATCGTATACCATACATTTCTGCACAAATTAACAAGGCTGTGTTCTTGCACCACCTCTCTGCACAATCTTTTTCAGCTTGATGATTCAAAGGGTCACTGTAGGCCTTGATAGAGAGGACAGTCTACATCCATTATCACATTGATAGCTGATTATTTAACCTGAGGTGACCAAGGGCCCACACCAAGACAGTGGCCCAACTAATCAGAACTGACGATGCTGGCCTTGTTTTCCACACAGTGACAGCCCTGCAGCGAATAACGTCCTGCTTTGCAGAGGCTGATGAGTTCTTTGGATTTGTTTTCAGCTTAAAGAAGACAGAAGTCCTTGACCAGCCTACACTTCATGAAGTTTACCATCACATCCGCATCAGTTCAGCTACCTTGGGTGCCTCATCTCTTCAGATATCAAGATCAACAAAGAGATAGATAGCAGACTCGCAAAGTCAAACGGAGCATTCGTCACAAAGATCAGTGTGTATAAAGTTGTCGTACTGATCACTCTCCTGTATGTCTCTGAGTCACGGGTTACCTATCGTCACCACCTGTGACTCCTTGAGCGCTTTCACCAATGCTGCCTCCGCACAATCCATAATATTTATTGGAATTACTTTGTCACTAACATCAAAGTTCTCGAACAGGCGGAGACAACCAGCATCAAGGCTATGCTTTTGAAGTCACAGCTGCGCTGGGCAGGGCATGTCTCCAGGATGGAAGATCATGGCCTACTCAAGGTTGTGCAGTATCGCAAACTCACAACTGGGTACCGCAACGGAAGAGCACCAAAGATGAGTTACAGGGACTCTCTGAAGAAATCCTTTTGTGCCTGTCACATTGACTCATGGGTCTGCTCTAACTTTCAATCGCGAGACTTGGAGAAACACCATTCATCATTCAGTCTCTTTCTTCGAGATCACATACAGGGCAGTTCTTGAGAATAGTAGAAGAAAACCCAAGCACACCAGAATAAATTTGCACATAAAATATTTTTATATTCAAATAGTGGATAAGCATAGATTATACAGAAAAAGTGCAGATACAGTACAGGTATGTAAACAACAAATAGCATACCAATAACCACTATATACGCAATATAAAGTTCTCAAGAAAGAAACCCATAATAAGAAAGGCAGGAGACAATAAGACCCCAACGTTTCGGCAACCCAGCCTTCCTCAGGGAAAATGTCTATCCTTATGGTCTCTGTTCCTACTAATATACCCTGAAAATAACCAGGGGATTATTGCCTTCATTAAGAACATGTGTGGGGAATGTAGTAATAAAGTTGGATTATCAACAAAGCCTTTCGGGTTCGTCCGACGTCATCATGTTCACGTGATGTCAGACGCAGTCGGGCGCACAAGATCAACATGTAACATCAAGCTAAGTAACTTCTGGGTTCTTCAGATGCCATCACGTTCGCGTGATGTCAGATTCAATTAAACGTACAAGATCTTTGTGTAAACTCTATGGTGGCACTGTGAGACCAAAACACCCAAGGCATAATATAAATCAGACCACAAGACCGGCAACATATGGAGTGAATCATCTATTTAAATCCAAATATAATGCAAATTCGTGATAGCATCAGAATTAAATCGCCATACAATTATATTAAATGACAAGATGAATTGCCCCTATATGTAAATAAAAGGGGCATCTTGCTAATTGAGAAAGGGAATAGATTTGTCAAACACTTGTTGCAATCACTCTCTTTCAGCCCTAATAATCCATAGCTCCCATGATCCTGCTAATATACAGAACATCCAAACATAAGTTCACATACGTATATGAAACATAATAATAGATACTGTAACGGATCGACGGGCTCCCTGACTGGGTACCTCCGTTGATGGGTGCTCCTAGCGCTTCCTGAGAACTCCAAGCACTCCAGCAGACACCATAACCACTGTAGACTCCTTCAGGGAGCAAGGCAGGAACAAGCTCTTACAAGAGCTTAGTAGTGATTTAGCAAGGGAGTATGACTAGCAATCCCTTGTAGCAGATTCCCCCAATAAGAGACGGCACTCCAAATTGAGGGTGAAGTAGAACTCAAGCTTTTAATCAAACATAGTACTGCCCACAAGGTTTTGAAGTGCAACCAATCAATACATACAATACACTCAGACACTCCCACACAAAATCCTCCCCTCTGCCTGTGATATAATTACTGGACACAATGGGCTAACTTAATTATCACAGGCAGGAAAATACACAGTTTTGCACAATATTCATAACTCCAGAAGTATACATCACATTCACATTTTCAGAATCAGCATACTCCAAATACAAACCTACTAACAAATCAGACAATTCCTTCCATTGGTTTAAAAGTTAGGTCAAAGTCCTTTGTGACCACTGAAGCATGGCTTTCCAGCCAAAATCAGTTTCACAGAGTCCTCTATCCTGGAGATAATTGGCTTAACTGGGTGTGGTAAGCCAACTATCTCCAGGTACAGAAAATGTCTCTATTCACAACAACAGCAAAAACACACAAGAATACATAATTCCTATCATACTGAACAGAACCCCCACATTCAACCTATCCCCAGATGGCTTGGATCTGAGCGCTCAATATATCCAAACAGCGCTCAGATGCCCCAAACACAGTCAAATCGCCATGGGGTTTAAGTTTAGCATGGGCTGATGAGAGGTTCCATAGTCACAGGGCAGGAGGCTGGCAATCAGTCTTCTCCAATGCCCAGTGGCGAGGCTGGTTCCGCCACAGATACAGTAAAACTCTATATGAGAAACAGTATAATAAATGTTTGAATATAAGATAGGTACATACATATAAGGAATACATCAAATGTATACAGACATTGCAAAAGAGTAGCAAAAAATCTAACAAATAAACAAATATTTATGGTCATCAGTGTGTCTGCAACAAACGTGGACAACCCGCGTCCTAAATCTTTGTTCACAAAGTCAAGCCAAGATGGGTTTGCATGCTCATAGTTTTTCTTTTGAAATGGGGGGAAATATACTTAATTGTTCCAGTTCTACTATTTTGACCTTAAGGGGTTACTCCAACAATCAAGGTCATGACCAGTAATTTAACATCTTCATGGTGGTAGGAGCTTGAAACACTGCACATTCAGAGATATTTGCACCTGTGTGGCGGGGGCAAGTATTTTT